AATACATGCACAGTTTTAATTAGAAAATCTAGAGAAAAGAGACCGATTGAGAAACGTAGGCTTATAAGGAAATGTGAAGTCAAAATGGATTGGACGTAGACCGAATTCGACTGGCACTTATGAACAATTAAATTATCCTCCGAGTTCTATTGAATCGATAAATTTATTGACTATCTGTGCTCCATGAAGTTATTTAAGAACCCGTAGTTAATTAAATTAATTACAAGTTATTTGGCCGTTTTAAAATTAAAAAAGTACCTCCTCTGACAATAACAGAAACCTGCAGGAAAAACACAGAATCAGATGTATAATATCGAGTATCGACTGTCTCTAACTCTACACGGGAGTTTCAACAATCGATAACCTCGCATGCATTATGAAGTTGAACGACGGTATTTCTAGCACGCTGTAAAGAAAATAAATACCAGTGACGTCAACATTTCTCTTCTTATGAAGTTTTAAAGCTATCGCGTTTAAATAAGTGCTATGCAAACATGTCCACATTTCCCATAGTCGATTGAAAAATTAATAACATTACCCAGCACACTAACAACGTAAGGCAAACTTGCTTCAATAATCGATGTCGGAGTCTCGTATTGTCTTGTTTTTCACCACGTTGGCTTGGCAACAGCGATACCGTACGAGTAGTAGTTTCATTAGCACGTTGTACGTTCATTAACACGAAAAAAAGTCCGGAATTTAGTAAATACGAATCGAGGCAAGATAATTACACATTCAAAATCAGTCTTAGTAAGTTAAAGACATAATATCTGACTGTCTAAGCCGAGGGAACGCTGAGGTCACGTGCTCTAATCCAGACAGTATTACAGCCGTTCCTGTATTGTCTTGTGATAGCAGAAGCCGATCTCTTAACCAGGGAGACCAGCAGATTTAACAAAATATTCACTGTCTACGAATTAATTACAAGGCAAACCAGTAATAGTGACAACAACAACAATAATAATAGTAAATTAACCGAGACAGCTCAGTCAGTGAAATGACACTCAGCCTGATACCTAATAAGCAAAGGGGAATTATTTCACGAGGGATAAAGCGGCCGGAGTGTGAATCTGACCATTCACATACTACTGTCGAAGTTAAGAATGCATGGAACTTTATCTCCACGTCAAGTTCTTGCATTAATGACGTGGTACTGAAGCACAGGGACGACCTTATTGAAACTGGCAGACATGTCGATATTTGTGCCTTCCGTTTCAATAGAACGCAGATCCGGATTCCAAATTGGGAATTGCGCATGTGCGCTGGTTCCGGGCTGATGGCAACTATTGTCATTTAAATTCCCCCCCCCCCCCCCCCCTCCCGTTTTAAATCATATCACAGAACTGCATATAAAAAAATTTCAGGTTATTCTGGGATTCGAACAAGAGGGTGGTTATTAATTTTGCAGGAGCAAGGATTATTAAGTGGCGAGACTTTAACCAGTACGCGATAATTTCTTTAACACGGGGTTCAGTATAGCAGAAGTTTGCCAACGTTTCAGAGGTCCTAGCTGCCTCCATTATCAGGGCGGACGGTGGCCTACAAAGATTCATCAGAAAGATACAGGACTGGACTTATTTTCTCCATAATTAAGGCTAAATACTGATCGCGCTTAAGTCGTAATCTGCTAAAAAAAACACTAAACTAAATCAATTGATCATACTTAAGCTACTCACAAGATCCCCCGACATGTATGGAACCCGTTGGTCCATTATTCTCCGGCTTTATAAGACTAGAAAGTTTGTCACCGCCACTGGATTCTATCATGAACTAGCCCCCAGGAGACTGACTGGTTTTCTGTTCGCGGAAGTTAAGTAAGGAGTCGTATAACGGGTCCAGAAGCACAGTCTAAGGAAGAAAGGACTTCACGTGTCTCTGGTAATTGGAAAAAGAAAAAAATGAAATGTACGCAAAGGGGCATGAAGAGAATTTTTAAGAAGTTTTAACAAATATGACAGAAAACGTTCTTGCTAAACTCCCCAGGTTCATTTTTTTTTTCCAGACCATTAAGTTGCAACACCTTACTAAATCTCTCAGATGTAATACAACACACAACTTTTCCAAACACGCCCTCTCTATTTCGAATTCGTCTGACTGGCCTTCGCATTCTTCACGTACATGTACGTACAGACTCACATTTGGATAAAGAATTACTACGTTGTTAACTGGTTTTTAAAAGTTAAAGATATTCATTAAATCTATATGTTATTTTTTTAAACAATTTTTTCGCCGTTTTATACAATGAGTCGTTTTTGAAAGAATTAACGAAGAACGATCTTATCTTCAAATAAAACTTTGCTCGTAAATATGGTAATTAATCGGTCGTACAACATCTTTTGCCGTAGACCTCTCACACCGAAATCCGTAGTGTAGTTTCCGAGATAAAACTTTTGGAAAAGCTGCCTTCGTATTTGCGCTAATTTTATAAACATCGCCCAAAATAATATATAAAAATATGACACCTGAGAAGAAAACCCATGGCAATTCCGACCAAACATTTCTACTTCCTCGGTAAACGTAAAATATATTCTGTAATTTACACCGCATAGTTGAGACGTAAAAGGAGGATGAAGAAAGTTTCACAATTTTTACTCTTCGCCGAATATTATCAGAGTGATCAAATCAAGGAGGATAAAATGGGTAAGACGTGTAGAACGCATGAGGGGAATGAGAAATGAATACAGAATTGCAATAGAAAAATATGTAGGAAAAAAGTCACTTAGTAGACCTAAGCGCAGATATGGGGATAATATTAAAATGGATCCTTTTAATTAAGAAGTGACTCTGTGTGGAATGGTGAGCTGTTGTGAATATGACATTGAATCCTAGGGTCGTATAAAACGTCCGGGATTTACTGACCAGCTGACCTACTATCAACTTCTCAAGAAAACTTTCTTTCAGGAAGCATTTTCAGTCACTGATGCTGGTCTACTCCAACATTATCGATACCGTTTGATATAAACACCAGCACCACACGAGTCAAAACGCATCATAAATTTCATATCCAGAATCCTAGTTGTGATGCTGATAGCGTGATAAACATCTGTTTATATACGTTTAAATTCTTACTTAATCATCTCTCTACATCACATTATCTCATGCGATGATATGTGTTAAAAAATAATCAATCAGACCCTATGGGCCCTAGACCTTGCAGTGACCTTTCACTTACGTCTGAGTAATGTCGTCTCATGACATCAGAAGCCTTTTTTTTCAGTTTACTGCAGGTCATTGCACTTTAAATTATATCTCTGAAAACCAACTTTGCTTCCAGAGCCAACGACCACTCTTTACTTTAGTAAGATTGTCTGTGTACTTTTGTTATTGGCGGATATGTGAGCAAAGATTATTGGATGTTCTGGACCAACTGTAATAAACATCTTCCTGCGGAAGTTTAATTTGTATAATGTGTTTAACCTCCTGCTGTATCTGTTTCAGGTTTCCTTAAATCACGAAACTATGTCAATTCAGTATCTGTTTAATATAAGACCCGGGAAAGCTCACAACAGTTCATTTCCTGGTACAGGTTGAATCTCTCTTCGTCACTACTTCCGGGGTCCTCTTAGCCTCTTACCCAGTGGGAAGTAGGCCTCTTTCAAGAGCCCCTAATAACAAGAGGCTAAACCTAGCGTGGGTCTAATCATTCCCTTTAATTTATCATCAAAGTCCTGAATGTGTGAAGTTTTACTTCAACCCAACTTCTCGCGAAGTCCACATTACAATACTTTCGTCCTTTCATCCGTCTGTACGCATGTAAGAACTCGAGAACGGCTGAGCAGATTTTCACGAAATTTGATACTAAAGTGTTTTAAGATAAGTTATCGATCAATTTAAATTTTGGTTTAAATCTCAAAGCAATAACGGAATAATAATTACAATACAGTTAGCTGTTTTTTTCGATGAGTAAACTTCGAGATGAAACATTCGAATCAACAAATAAAGAGAAACGATGTCCAACTATTAAATCCATTATGAAAGTTACTGACAATTATAAAAAGAACTCACCACAGGATTAAATCCAAAGAAATCCCATGCATTATTTCTCCAGTGCTGTCCATTTTTGTGGTTATAACGTTTCAATTTATATCGGTTCATATTCTGACATCATCAGCTTCCATTCCAACGATGACTGAAGCTTTAAAAAAAACAAAATCTAAGTTTAAGTGCACCTGCGACACGGGAACGAGTCAGACGCGAACATTGAGCAAATACATGCTTACTAAACACTATTCACAGCACAAATACAAAGGCTTACAAACGCCTAAATAAAAACCACAGTAACAAATTTCACTAAGCCTTATCTATAAAGGTCACTTCCTCCCAGTTCAGCTCTTGTTCATTCTGTAAAAAGGTCACTTCCTCCCAGTTCAGCTCTCGTTCATTCCGTAGAACTCCAATCATCAAATTTACATTGGTTGGCAATTAATAGTCTACAAATGAACCCTAACAGAGATAAGAGAAGTCGGAGGCTTTTCAGCAAGATGTTTACTTGGTAAACACAGCCAAATTACAGTTAGAAACTACTCTCTGACGTGTGTATACACAGTAAGTTTGTTTCATGTGGGTACTGAGAACTGGGCTTGTAAGATTTTATGTAAAGCATAAAACCTTCGAGGTGACTGGAGGTGGCAAAATCCGCTTGGGTGACAATCTACATCAGAACATAACGGAAGTACAACGTTTCGGAGACCATCTCTATGTCCATCATAAGGGAATGAAGTGACTGGTATTCATTATTGGTTGGTTTATTGGTTTTTTGGTCATTATTGGTTAATTTATAACTTGTGTTGGGCAAGGCCGTGGTCTAGGCAACACGGAGTTTTCCTCCGGAGGCTTCCCCGGTTTCTCCGTGCCATCCCAACAATTACTCCATTCACACACAGAAGAAGGCAATGGCAAACCACTTCTGGATCATCTGCCAAGAACGTATATGAACAGGTCTCAGTCCGAGAAAAGGATGGAAGGATCCTGTTCATATGGACCTGTCGTCAGACAAAACACTAAATAATAATAATATATGTACAATACGATGGATGGCGGACGGAGTAAAGTGTAAACCCGTCATATCACCATCAAGCACAATTACAGTTGGTGCTCCTAGAAAGAACTGTCTGGCATTGTCCAGATTAGTCCAATCTTCTGTCCTGGACATGTTCCGTTTACAGAAGCAAGATAAATCTTTCGATCTTTATCTTGTCTAAATGCTGCAGTTTCACGTTCTTCTGTGGAACCTAAGTGCACGTCGATAACCGGGAATAAAACCAGAATTAACGCGGTTTAGCGAAATTTCTGTTGCGTTGTCAGATCTCGTTGGCTTCAACTGAGCGGTCCATGCATCCTATGATTCTGCTTGTGTATTCGTCTTATAGAATTTTATTCTATGGCCTGTTTCTAGACTGTCGCCTGCGTCAGTGAATTTCTCTGGTTGCCAGAGGCACATGTAAACTAACTCTTTACCAGATGAACGGCTACTCCACGCGGAAAGTGGTAGACCTGTATTCCAGGCACACTACATGCCACGTCGTTCTGACTTCAGTATGCCCTTCTTGGCCGGCTTCTACGACGTCCGTTTCACACATCATGGCCGTCAAAACAAATGGACAGAACAGGATACATTGCATTAACGGCTCTTCAATAAAATCAGACGCCACTGGACCGGTTAAATACTGGATCTTACCTTAGAAACCAATACCAACAAACAGACGCTTCAGACAACACATTTTTCTAGAGTTCGTTCCCCAATTCCGGGAAATTACAGAACGAAACAAAACATCTGATCAGCCACGTTGTAAAACGAAGGTGTGGACATGATTTAGTTCAGTTCTGTGAGACACCTGTGCACAAGTGTAAACGGATAAGGTGAGTGAAATCGAAGTCGACGCAGAACGTCTGCCAAATTCAGTGGAGAACATACGTTCAGTCGATAAAATACAGCATTATTAAACGCCTCCGTCCTCAACCCTGAAAATGGGGCAGTGTATTTCTTCGAAAAGTTGGTATCGACCCACAAATCCACATGGCGTCGCTAACTCAGAAGGGTAACAGCTGACGTTGCATGTACTGCCAGGTAAATACAATCCTAGTTCTTTCAATCACACCACGACTACTTTCCATCGGAAATTTTGTAATAATAATCTGTTCCATGTAAATCACGCATTTTAGACCGACTCCCTAAAGCAGGGCCCCTCTTCATAATTTGGCGGTCCCTCAGCCAGTCAAGAAATTCCCCGTCTTTTATAAAGCCAGAATGTTCAGTACCGTATCCACAAAATCCAAATACTGGACCATAATCTGAGCCAGATGATTCTCATCCACACCCTAGTTTTTAAAGCTCGCTTCGATATTGTTCTCCGCCAGTTTATACAGCGTCGTTAAAGAAGCAAAACGCATGTATAAGATCGGGTAAGATGACGTAATTTTCGTTCCAAGAACGACCCTCACGATTATCGTATTGCCATTTACAGAAGAGACAGGCAAACACATCAAGCAGAACCGAGAGCTTTGTGGCTTAGTTTAAGTCACGTTTCGATTTTTGTGAGGCAAGGGGAAGTCTTTTGATCGATTTCTTAAAATATGTAAGGCTTAAATGAACGTGCGACTTGTTCTGTACTTAAACTAACTCCGCTCAGTTGTTTAGTGGAATACAAGGTGAATGGAGGATTGGTCTAGCTTGACGCAGTGTGTCTGTCTCAATGGCATTTGACAGCATTGAAAACAATTACACCATACACATAATTTATTGAAACCAAAACTGATAGGCCCAAGGAAACTTCCGAAAATTATTCTTAATAGTTCTTTCCTGCGGGATTATAGGGAGTGTTTCACATCCGGTCTGCCATCCATCAGGGAGTGATTCTGGAGGTTATTTCGCGTAAAAATATAAAAACAACATTGATCCCGTTTTCAAACGTTTGAGGAGCTATGTCGATTTCAAAACGCACACAGTGAATATAAATCAGATGATTTTATTGCTACACTTTATTAAATATATCACATAACTGTTCAAAATTCCTCCGTCATCAGAGTGATGACACCACGATGATGACGTCAGCAAGCTCCTCTGAAACTTCTGTCAGTATCTACCAGACTACAGTACAACATTCGAGAAGAAGACAGATATCTTCCCAGCACTTTATCACAGTTCCTGACTCTTTGGATATCAATGATGCTTAACATGACTTTAATGACACAAAAGCAAATGATATCTCTATTCTGATGTAGAAATCAATATTATGACTGACATGCATCAAAAGAATAAGATATGTAACTTACGTAGATCGATGTGATACATTTATCTAAGTGAAGTGAAATCTGAAACTTCAATCTCAGAGAACTTGAAATCGTGATAAGCTTCGAATTATTCAGAGTTCATAACTTAGACCTTGTATTATTGAATTTTCGTAATGGCATGTTCATTGCACAAATTTATGCAAAAGTCTGGCGTTTGAGACTTTTACTACGCCCACCTTATATGGTCTTTGCACACAGTGCATATAATGAATGTATAATAGATAGGTCATACGTGTCCACGTTGTATCACCAAAGTGAATTTTGATGAACTTCTCTCTAGTACTTTGAACATCAAAGCCAATGAGTACAGAAAATTGAAAGAAAGTTATTTGGTAGATACCTGTATCCATTTCAGTTTTTCTTCATTTTGTTTAGAATTCACAGTTCAGAGCTTACCCACTGCCTTTCCTTAACAGGACGTCATACAAATGTGGCATGTAAGCGCTCCTTTGGGAAATTATACTATTATAGTATTGTCACGCATAGAAGCTACCAAAAAAATCCAAAAGAATGCGGAATGGCTTGGGTCAGACAGTTGGCAATGCTGAAAACGTTTATCTGTTGTGAAAAATGTAAGTTTATCACAGAAAGGAATTACAAAACTTTGACACGCAGAATTATGTCATAATAATTGTGTTCTAGCACGAATGGCGGACACTGGTATTAATTCGGTGATAACCTTCGGACTCCCTAAGCCACATAGTTGGTTAGATTGGTACCACTGTTGTTACATGATCGATTATTGAGTATGGTACGTTGGTAATATTTAGATGTAAAAATGGCGGCTATATGTTAGTTGTGTAGTGTAATATTCTGAAATATATATACGAATTGAGTAGCAGTTGTCTAATTTGCGGAAGGCTGTCTCCCAATTTACGAATATTGTGTTATTGTACCCATGAAAAGTATGCAGTTGTATTTTAACTCAGAAGTATCTCTGTAGCCAGTTGTAGGTTATGAGGGCACTTATGAAATCACTTTATAATGCGAGTATTTGTATATTTGTTTCAGAATGAGCGTAATTAAAGTATGTCCACCACCATCAGAGCTGTGTGCAATAAAGACGAACATCCATTGCCCTGAGGAAGGATGCAAGAGCGTATTTAAAAATACTGCTAATTTAGATATGCATTTATTGAAGCACCATAAAAAGAAAGAAATTTTAAAGAAAGACGAGGGTGTAAATTGCCACTATCATTGCCCTGTCGAAGGATGTCCATATAACTTAAGTTTAGGCCAATTTTTCAAGCGTTTGAAATATTTGAAACAGGTGAAAAATTTTACCTCCACTATTTCAATAATGTAATCATAATGGTAAAGTTATAGAAATTATTTGTTAGCATTCCTTTCTAGTTTTGTAAGAGACAGCCTATTTTTGTGTGTTGAACGGTGGTCAAATGAACTGAGGTACCAATGACACTACCATCATTTAATTTAGAATTTTCTATTGTAAAAGGTTTGTGAAAAATGTAAAATTTTACTCACACACACAAACCTCCCTTTCTAGTATCTAAAACATGACAATTAAAAATCTTTACACAACTTTGTTCAAAATTATGGGGTAATAGATACAGCATAAAGTTTTTCTCTATCTTAAAAATTACAAACATGGGATGATATGAAATTTGGAAGTTTCATCTGATAACGTTTAGATAGTGGGAATCTATACCAACTAAAATGATGCACAGAAATAGATTACTATCACAGAAAGTTCTTCCAAGGAATTCCTGTTAAGTGAAAAATTTCTCAATTTTAGTATATACTTCTTTTTCTGTTTATATATATATATATATATATATGAACACAAAAAACTATAATTATTAATGGTTTCTATTTACTTTCAGCATTACTTGAAAGTCCATGCAGAAAAGGCTTTTCAGTGTGAAAAGTGTCTGAAAGGTTTCTCAACAGAAGCAGCAAAGAACCATCACTCAAGAATTTGTGGGATTAAATTCAGTTGCTCCTGTAACCACACTTATGATTCATATGAGGCACTGCTAACTCATGCAAAGAGGTTTTCACATACTTTTGATGAAAAGTTCAAATTATATGGAAAGTATGTGTTAATCAGCAATATCATAATCTTTATCTATATACTAATTATAACTCCATGTGGCAGAGTCCTTGACAAATTAAATATTCACAGTCTCAGAAATAAGCAAGTTATAAATTCAACAGAATTGATATTAACATTAAATCTTACCAAAAATATAAAAGCATATAAGAAACCACATACACATATAAATTTAATATGTTTTCGAGGTATTCCATTTACTGATCATCTCAGTACATTGCATATAGGACAAGTTAGGCATTTTAAAAAGCCTCCCGCTCTTGATTTCCAGCAGCAGTAGATATTGTTCAATTTGACAGCACTCAGACCAGCCACAGGCCCACCCATTCTCCTATCCTATATAGGGGTAAAGTGGCCAGAGCACTGGTGAAGCTGGTCACTCACCTATATCTAGTGGGATGGTTATGAATACACTGAAATTTATCTTCACACCTAACAGCATTGGGTTTTCTGGTGTACAAATATGTGAAGTACTAAATCTAAATTTTCCTTTGGCTACAAGAATTTAACTAACTTGGTAACAACCAAAGTTCTAACAATATTCTGAATTTTCAAACCATCAATTTATATTACTATTGTATTCTAAATGAAATGTATTTAATTTCAGAGCTCTTATTGGCACAGCATTTGAAAAGGAAAAGAAAGTTACAAATGTGAACATCTGCAAAGAACGTCAGTCTGTTTCAACAGCAGTTGCTGTGCCAGTACACTTTCTAGCAGCTGTTGCTCTCAGTGAGCTCTCTGGTAAAAGCTTAAAAACAGCTGTGGATAAAGGAGTTCAAACAGATGGGCAAATGGTAGTCAATAAAAGAACAAAAAAGGCACCCAGTCCATTTAAATCCTGTGAGAGGGCAACTAAACGCAGGATGTCAGCTCAAACTCAGACAGGAATTTTGTCACGAAACAAACGTCCAAAAATCAGTGCACAGACTCAAACTATAGGTGATTACATCCTCAAAAAGGCAATGAAAGATGCTGATATTCTGATTCCACATGAGACTCAAAGATCAACTACAAAACAGACAATGCACGGTGCAACAAAGAAGAAAAAGAAAAGTATGGAGACACAAACTATGACTCATGTTGGTACTAAAACAAAATTTCAAAATCAGCATTTAAATGAATTTCTTATGAAGTATCCACACTCGGACACTAATTTTACTTCCTTAAGTGACTTTTCATCAACAACTGATATGACTGACAATTCTAGTTCATATAGACTTGGGATTGATGTGGGACTGCCAGATCTGTGGGTTAGCTTGAAATATTCATCAGGTACACAAACAAGTCCCACAGCAATGAATGCTTTATTGGAACAAGAAGAAATATTAAGCCACAGTGTAACGCAAACTGATCTAAATTTGTCATTTCTTGAATCGGAATCATGTGAGCCTACTTCAAGTAGCATCCATTCAAGTTCCCAAACAATGTGTAACTTACAAAAATATTTTGAAGATAATTCAAATTGCAGTTTTAGCACAGAAGTTAATAATGTAACTCCCTCATTTGAGCCTGAATTGGCTACTTCTTTATGTAGGTCAAACATAGAAACTAATCTGGGAACATTAGCTGATGAGGCCACATTCTCACCTTCACAAATTGACACTTTCCTAATGCAACGTCGTAAAATTTCGTTTGATGTAAATCGTTCCTGCAGCACAGAAACTCAGACAGAATTCGATTTTAGTGACCATCTGTTTACAGACTGTGCTGATGAAGATACATCTTTCACGTTTTGTTCCAACATTGAAACACAGACTACTGAGGAATTTTCTTCTTTTGATCATCTTCTTTATATAAATATGTGTACTCAAACTTGTGATGATAATTTTTACTCTGAACTTGAATTTGCGAATACCCAAACACAAACAGCATGGCCACAATTTGGCATGGAAGACTCTATGTTCGTTTCAACAGAAACTCAAACGGCATTGTCGGGATGCTCCAGTACATTCAGTTGCATAAATAAATTATGGCCAACTTCCAAAATAAATTCTGAAACAAGTCACATGGAAACCCAAACAAATGTATATGAATTCAAGGATCTTATTGCAGAATTGTCAAAGCAGGAATCAAATGACAAGTTATTATGATATTTGTGGAAATTATAGATGAAATGAAATTCATGAAACAGACATCTGTGAAAGTGAATCTAGTCAGAAACACTTAATGTATATGATTGAAGCTGCTGACTGTCTGCCCTTGGGCACTGCCAGGAAATGATTATGAATTTATTTGTGCATGACAGAGCACTGATTTGAAAATGGGCAAATGAGTCGCATTAGTACATTATGCACCAAAATCTTAATGTGTTAAACTCCTTTGTATTTCTCTCTTTAATGAGGCAGCTGTTATTTGGCACTTTAAATATCTGGCTTACATGTTATAAATAAATAGAAATATGAATATATGGTAACATTGTGTTTTTCATAATTTCTTTTATGACCCTCTGATATAAACATAAATAAGTTAATGTTAATAAATATAGCACTTTATAAAACAATTTTATATGTCAAAATCATACACTTAGTAATTTTTGTGTGGGCAGCAGTTTGTGGCAGATTGTTTATATCCCACATCCCAAATTATCTAAAGCAATACAATTTTGAATAGTTTAGAGATCATGCTAGAATGGAAAGTGTGCTCATTCTGTTCAACATAATGCAAGATCAGAACATAATTCATGTCATATGTACATAAACTCATTTAAATTTCAATGGGTGCATCGTAAATCTGTTTGTTTATCAAACTTAGTTTGATAGATGTAGGTTAAATTTTTCCAAGTCTTTTTTCATTTTGAATTACTTTGGTTAATTTTAAGGCCCTCTTTACATGGGATCTATATGATCTTTCAATTGTACATTTTTTAAGCTGACAGATTTTGATCTTCTTCTTCTTCTTAGCATATGTCCCACTTTAGTGGGGTCTGCTTTTCTTTCCTCTCTTTTTTGGAGGTTGCGTGATCTATTTAGACATTTGGTAGGACTCCTTGAATGAGTGATCAGCCTGTCACAAGGCCTCTACCTGTACACAGGACAGCACAACACAGAAAGATGCAGACAAACATCCATGCCTTGAGTGGGATTCGAACCCACGGTCCCAGTGTCCAAGCGGCACGAGGCCCATGCCTCAGACCATGCGGCCACTGTGACCGGCAGCTGACAGATTTTGATGAAACCTGAAATACATTATTTCTATTATTTTAATATTGCCATGTGAAAGCTTCAATTTGTTTCAAGGACAAACATACTGAAATGTGTAAATGAACTTTTACATCAATACTTTAATCTCTTTGACAGATTTTACCGGTACTGCACTTGCAGTGCATTTGTTAGTACTAGCATGTGTGAGCAAGGTCCATATTACTGAGGACCTAAATACATTATTGTGTGTATTGAGAAAATTATTCACCCGACATAGTTTTCATATAACTTGTCAATCAGCAATCCCATGGTGTTGTGATACAGTACTTTATTGTAAGGAAAATTTCCGCAAACTACTGTTGCATATTCATTACATACTTGCCTCATCTCCAAATACAAATTCCACTAAGAGAGAAAAGAAAATGAAACTATTGTAATGTGGTATAAAGTATTACAGGAGCACAGTCACCTTTCAATAGAAACACTGAAGATATTAACATTACTTCTACAACAAGGACAACAAGAAAACTAGGTTTTGGAAGGGACAAATTGAAAGAGTGAGATTTCAGGTTCTCATGGCAGCAAGTTTGAAGACTGCCATCTTTAAGACATCACAAAGCATAACTGTACTGAGAAAATACAATCATATGACTTTAAATTTATTTCCTGTTGAATCACATTTCAAATTCAATGATAATTTATTTACTATGGTATGAAAAGCCCTTAAGAATATATCAACTACAAACATTATTTAAAATGTTGTTTGAATGAAGGGGTTTCTGAGCTTTCATAACAAAATACAGCATAAATTACAACAACTTTAAAACTAGTTGTATGCACACTTAAATAATAATAAATATAATTATACTGTTACAGAATATAACATTTTCAAACTTCTTTTTGTCATTCATTAAATAAGAGATAAAACACAATACCAGTACTACCATTACATATTAGAACAATTTTACAATATGACTGAAAATAGCAGCAGTAACTCGGTACAAAATTAGCATGTGGGATGATAATACAACTCAGCTATTTCCTTTGAAGATCTACAGACAAAGTTCCTAATTTTCCCTCAATAGCTAAAACGTCAAACAAAAAAACTTGCAGGAGAGGTGAATCATTATGGGCTACTGGGCCTGAACCTTACTTTATTTTCAGAAATCAAGAAATGTATGTTTAATGTCAGAATGGCAGACAGTAAGAAACATAAACAGCTAATGTATACCAATAGCAAAAATCTAGTAATAAGGGTGGCTGTATAGCTATCATATTGGTTAAGAACCATTTAAAACTAGCACAAATTGCCTGACTTACTAACAAATATTTACATTACAAAAAATACTAAATTAATGGATCTTCTGTAGACAATAAGACAACATGCAGTACCCACAAAAGCAAACTTTTTGCTTGCAGACAAAAAAAAAATCAGATGCCAAAATAACACTTATATTGAAAAATTTGATCTTGGAAATCCTGAAGAAAGCTGTTGAACACTTTGGAAATGGAAATGCTGCGAGATGTATTATTACCCCAGCAGCTGCAATAATGTAAGAATGTTATTCCACTCATCTTTCCATTTATTATAAGAACTCAAATGGGCATTAAAAAAAGGACATCACCAAAATATGATCTTTATATACAAATGACCTACCTTGAACAATACCATACTGCACAACCAGATGAGACTCAAGAGCAGTGTTTAGAAAAGTACTTCTTTCACAGTGCTGGTCCGCTGTCATCATCATCGAACTCTGCTACAAAATCACCTGTCCGGTCCTGAATCCGATGCAAATTCTCCAGTGTTGATGCAATAACACGCAGGTTGCCAACACCAGTCAAGAGTTGCCTGTATAACAAAAAAATAAATAAATAAATAAAAACAGTACATGAGAAATTCAAACACTATACCTCAAAACTCACTTCATTAGACAAAAACATGTTTGCCACAGTCATGAAATATTATGTGTTACATATACTATATTATTCACTTACATTGCAAACTAAAGATGTTGGTGCCTTTCTGTAACTCATCTCTTCACTTACCTATGCATTCTGACTGTAATAATTTTTTGATTCCAAAAATTTTCTCCATGTCAGAGGAACAGTCACTGTCATTTGTACGGCTTGTCCGTGTTCCAGTCTATTCATTTGAATCTTTAAAATAAACTTACTTGCCAACAGCTGGCCAATTTATTGAAATAGTATAAACACAAACATAAAATACATGGTTACACCAGGTCTGTAAAACTTTCTCTTAGTGCAACAATCTAAAAATTAGATTAAAATTAAAATTAAATCCGTGGCGTAACAGCTCCAGAGAGCCAAAGCCGACTAAACATGGTAAATAAAAGAAGAGTCCATAGAACCATATATATTAAGCATATACTGACTGCATGAAACAAATTAATATTGTTTTTAATCCAAATTTGCATGTAATATTACCTAAGTGACTGTTCTGCAGTGTTCGCTGCCACTCTCAATTCCTGAGCAAGTCGCTGTGACTGTGATTCATTATCTGGCTCTATCGAAGCACTAGCACCAGCCTGACCACACCGTAATTCTCGATTCTCTTGCCGCAGAAGTGTCAATTCACTCTAAAAAAATAACATGTAAACCCAAGTAGTCAATGACAAATTATATATAAACTTACTGTAATTTATATCAGGCATAAAAAAATCAAAAACTTAGCAAAAGAAAAATGTTCCTGACCTTACAATTAAAGCAAAGTCTGTTTTGAAATGAATCACATAAATGCAAAGCTACAACAAATTCAAGGAAATTAATAACAAAATAAGAACAGACAAAATTGAAAAATATCCGAGTTTGGATATTTTGCAACAATTAACAATCCTATATATATTTTGCATGGATAGAAGTTTCTACATTTCGGTCTTAGAAAATGGGACTGCAGGAATCAGAACACATTATATTTAACAAATCAAAACTGATAATATATGTAAACTGATATATGTAACCCAAAAGTAAGAAGTCCCATTAATTTAGCCATGGCAGTGATTTACTTGAAAAATTGGCTTCTCTAACCCACTTACCATAAGAAGCTTCAGTTCTTGTTTCAACTTGGAGACAGAATTTTCTGCAGTTACAGCTCTTCTCTGCAAAAGGAGGAAAACTATTAACAACACAAGTGATGGCAGTATACTGCAACTGAAGCAGAGTGAAATATGATGATGAAATACTATCGGGCTACAAGCCGTGTCAGGTGGCTGAACAGTTGACAAACCATATCACCTGCCAATGTTTCAAGAACCATCTCTGACTATGAGAACAGTCACGGTGGTACTTACAGTTGCTCTCTTCAAGTTGTCAGCCACCTGTTCAATTGCCTTCTCAAGTACTGCTGTTTCCTCACGTTCCTTAGAGCGAATGGTCAACAGTTCCTGCTCCAGGTACTGGACTCTAGATTTGCAACAAAAATTAAGCTCTTTATGCCACCTCCAAAACTACCTGTCAGAAAGGCAATATAGCACGGTAAAACTGCAATGGGCTCAGCACCAGAATATATGTAACAAAACTTCAGTAATTAATCCTTCAAGTCTTCATAACTTTAAAAAGCATTCCATCATGCAATCAGTTTGAAGAAAGGGTAAACGTAATGTGTGTATGTAAATTACATAACTGCTAACTTCTAGTCTGTTCTCTTTCATTATAAAAATAGAACACAATTCACCTTCTTGTTTGATCTCCCAGTTGCTGCCTTAAAACTTCTAAATTTCTTCTTAACCTTCCATTTTCCAACTGCAACTAATCAAAACATAATCCTATAAGTATTACTGTTTTGATATGAAGCAGGGTTCATTCTTTCTTTCTTAGTACTGTAAAATATCATAACTCCAACACACATACATGCAGACAAAAACACTTGATGAAATATCTGTGAGCAAGAGTAAACAACAAATAATTTTAATATCTCCCTTTCTGGTTCAAAACATTCTACTTACAAGTAACAGCAATTACTAGATCAGAATAAAAAAAATTGCTTGAAAACAAACTTAAAGGAAATACAAATGTTTAAACATCATATATTAATAAACATAAATCAATTTCTTGTCATTTGAAAAAATCTGACAAAATTTACAAAGACCTTCAGCAGAACAGGTTTTCACCTGATGTTGTCATGACAACCAGTCCCTACTATAAAGAAAATACTGTCACCATTACAAACATCAATTTAACATCACCTTTGTGACTTATACCTCTAACATCTCTTTTGTTATCATATTCAGCTAAAACATGTCAGATCAGTTCCTGCCACATAATCATCACTGTAATCATAATCATCACAATAATCATGACCATCAGAATCATAACTATCATCACCATCACTACACCACTTCAACACAAAGTTCAAGTTCTTAATATGTTTGGGACTTGTATAATTTCTGTCCCAATGCTCAATGGTACACAAAGTTCAAGTTCTTAATATGTTTCGGACTTGTATCATTTCTGTCCCAATGCTCAATGGCAACACTTATATTTCATACGGCCACTGATAAATGGCTGAACAATCTTTTCATCTGAAAGACATGAAATACAGACAGAACAAGCCCATAAGACATTCTTTACTTATGCTAAACATAAACAATGCCTATACAGCAAAATTAATATATTTTCAACAAGTCATAAAAATAATGTCAGATCAAACATTCTTACTCACCCTCTGTGGGTCTGGGGACTGTGATCTTGATATGCTGTTGCTAGTACTTGCATCTGTACAGTCAGTAGGTTGATCTACACCATTATGGCGGTCACTGTGAATTGGTCCATCAGAAAGAAAGTCAGGTAGACTCTTAGATACCCCCACTTCACCAATCTGTATACCACTCCTTACTCCAGATAATGATGTGCATGCAGTCCCATCTTTAGCTTCACTAACAAGAGGGAGATCAAATGGAAAACCACCTCCAGGTATTACTGACCTTCCCTTACTTTCAACAGGGCTTCCATCAAAACTCGGTAAATCTAGAGGAACAGGTTCTGAGTAATTTCTAACACTTTTTGGTAAGCTCTGATTACCTGTGGTGCCTGTCAAATCAAATGGAATGTCACTTTGCAACACATCTGAATGAGTCCTCTTTGGTTCATTCCACTGACGAGATCGGTTTCTATTAATTCCAATGCTGCTACCATCCGTTGTTTCACGTGCTGGTGTGGTGCTGTCTATAGTAAAGTCCAGTAAATTTTCAAGATCCACTGCAATTTGAGGAGTTTTTGAACTCTCAGAAAGGTTCAGATAACATTGTTCCACTACCAGATGATCCTGAACAAAATCTGGAAGCACTGAGGTCAATTCTGGAGTTCCAGCATGACAAGGTGTTGTGCTTCTGCTATACAGTCCAGGATCTGAATCAGATGATTCTGGTGCCAAATGTCCAAAACCTTCATTGGCTAGATTAGAATAAACTTTTGGTCTTGCACCAGTACTATGGTAATTGTTCCCTGCATCTCGCTTGAGGAAGTGTTTGAATGAAAACGGATTTTCCTCTCTCCTTGGCATGTCACTTCCTGCCCAAAACAACAGGAACAGAATAACAGCTTTAAATTAAAATTATTGCCACACTCAAACAATTCTAGCTCTAACAATTTAATTATTAGAACTTAGAAATGATAATAAGTCTCGAGGTTAGCTGGATAAGCAGAAAATCCCTGTATAGTATAACAATGAATTTGGAAAGTTACAATAAGTTGCTGTTTTGAATGCATCAAAATTTCAGGATTAATAAAATGTGCCAATGACTAATATTCATGTATGAAATTTATTTTTACAGTTAGGCATGCTTCTGGCAATTTCTTACCCATAGGTTTAAGTGGCTGGAGTTCAACATATAACTTCAGCTTTCAGGTGACAGACACATTGGAAATTTGGTGTTAACATTTCAGTACACACTGCAGTTGTCATTTTCAACAGCAGTTATTTTTACAGAAAGCCTTCTGTAATGACCCCACTTCATCCACCTTTAAAACGGAAACGGCAACTGCAATGTTTGCCAAAACGTTGGTTAACACTAGTATCTGCTGAAGCTCTCACCCAAAATCTGAAGTTGTACATTGTATTAACTAGAAGAACCAAAGCTCTCAATAGAGATTTTTCATTTCATACATTTGACTACTATTCATACAAAGATATATACAAATGTGGGTGATTAAAACTGTTTTGGAATTTAAAGCATAAGACTTGTTATCAACTCCATTCATAGTTGTAGGGCAATTGTATCAAAGTCATTTGTTATTATATATATTTGTGGGATATGCCATAATCACAGGACAAACTGACAAGGACAATCTTCTACATTGAAACAATCACTTGCAATTACTTGTCTGTCTTTATAATAAACAAAGTATGAACGTATACTAAATGTTATTTCATGACTAATTTGTTATAAACGACGAAGGAAACGAACACAGCAATTCATACAATAAAGCTAACAATCACTTCCTTATACTTACATGAATAATAGAAGGCAGATTAACATGATGGATTACTTACACTATATTAATAAACGAGATAATAATAGACAGAAAATACATTAACAATGTGGTTAAACCAACTTAGTGGAATCTTTACCTGAACCAAGATTCTCCATAACCACTTTTTTCTCACAAGTCTGCGCATTGCCAAGGCCTAAGTCTGGTTTTACACTATTTTCCTCCTTGACATCATTGCCCTCGGTAGATTTACGTTCATTTTTTCGTGAGTAACTATGAAACGAATAAGGGTTTTCTTCTTCACCACTGCCTTCCGCCATAATCAAAACAGTACTTGACGTCTTGGTATCTGTAAAACCCGAGCAATCTTTCCTTGGGTGTGTACCACACGTGCAACTCAGAAATAAAGAGTTGTGTTTGACGCTGACGTGTTTGTATTTCCAGAACAGTAAAATGAGTTTACTTCGATTGAACCCAGTTCATTTTAGTTCTTGGTGTATTCCAAGAAGTCACGCAGGTGAAGGAAGCAGTGTTGAATATAAATAGTGTGACATATTATGTATCAAAGCACTTTAGAGATATAAATAAATTGACTCCCACGATTAAATAGTAGAAACATGTTGGCGACACTGACTTAGGTCTCGGCTCCAAAAATTCACACTATAATCCATACGTAGAGCACGACTGTTACGTACTGACAGCATAATCATGAATACTATCGAATGATTAGCAGCATCGGTAGTATTCAGATGAGTATTATCGAATCCTTTATAATATTGATGTTCATGTGATCCACAGTATTCGAATTTTTTGGCATCCTGCTTGGTCTGTCCGTCTAAATAGAACCCTCTACTCTTTTTGGCCGCTGACCTTGTTGAGAGATCCCAATGAAGGTAGGAAGGAGGATGAAAGGAAGCAATAAAGTTTGCCACTTGTTTCCGTCAGTCAGTACAGCAGCATATAAAAATAACTTTGCCGGAACATACGAACCTACCGCTAGTGTCTTCCTGCACAGAGGGCAGAAGAATTTTATGAATGGCCCTATATCTTTATTTTATATTCTTACTATCTCCTGCTGACAAGATCTGTTCCCAGGTGGTTAAGTTAAGACAGTTGGATGACATGGCCGATTACTCTGTTAACCATTATTATTCTTGCGTGTTGGAATGGTGTCACGTAGCAAGGGGCGATGTCTTGCGCTTGTGCAAGACTCCGCCCTTTGTTGGTTACTACATGGCTCTGCTGGCGAGAGACTCCTGTCTTCCGCAAGGCCCCACCGTTAGCCCTTGCGTGCAAGCGCAAAGCCAACGAGTTGGACTCGTCCGTCGTTGGAACGTGCCACTAGTCACCCGGGCCTTTGTCCGGAGCCGGGTCTGCGTCTCTGTCCGCCCAGGCGAACGGACTGGGTGCCCTAGGCCAGGTGGGCAAATCCATCGACTCCATGGGCGGTGGACTCGGGCAGTTAATTGGAACCCGTCGCCATGTCCATTGTCCGGAGCCGGGTCCTGGCCTCTGCCAGCGCAGGCGAAGGGACTCCCTACCCACCGTGGTGTGGGCATACCCAACACCTCCACAGGGCAGTTCATTGGAACCTTCAGGCAGGCCTCTTTTTTCAGAAAGAAAAGAATGCAAGAAAAATATTTAGCGGTGGTGGCATTATTATTTTTATTGTTGTTTTTTTAGTAGTAACAGCAGCAGTAATAACAATATCAGCAGTGACAACAACAGACAAAATTAATAAAGATTTACATATTAACAGATTATATTTCATTTTGACTTGTTATTAAATTTGGTACAATATTTTATTTTGATGGTTATGCATTTTGTCTTTGTCTACAGCATTCCAATTGTGGGTGAGAAATTGCAATATTTACTCACAACCAATCCCTCAAATGCCAGATTTTGAATATAAACCTAAAATATATGTGGTATGTATTCATTCTGCACATATCTATGTAAAAAATCTCATTGTAGTTACTTCTTAATGACTGAATGCATGGCAAAATCATGAACACAGGACACATCTGCCACTTTTGTTCTAGGGCCCAAGCTATGAGCATGTGAAACATATAAGAACAAGAAATATTTTAACTGCCTTTGCACCAGATTTTAAGGAACCACTTCTCATCCATGAGGGCAAAATGCAGTGGCTGTTTGATCACACTGGGAGAAGATATCTTGACATGTTTGGAGGCATTGTTACTGTTAGTGTGGGGCACTGTCATCCGTAAGATTATATACAATATAAATATATCCCTATTTCAGTAAATCTCTCCTGGAGCTTTGTAATCTTTTCCCACCTTCAGCCACCTGTCTACACCCATTGTACAGCAAATACACTAGCTTTCATTTAACATCTGGAGTTATGTACATAATAATAATAATTTCAAAGCTTCTGTCTATGCTTATGTAAGGCACATACAGATGGAAGTAAAAAACAATGAGTTACTGTACATTAAAAATTAAATTAAACCTGTGGCGTAACAGCTCCAGAGAGCCAAAGCCGACTAGCTTGACTTCTGGCCTCACGTTCACATGCCTAAGCAGAGGTGAACGATCATCCAACCAGATATAGGGTGATGTGTGGTCAGCACGACGAACCCCCAGCCATTGCTAGCTTTCCTGACCGGATTAGCTACTTATTGTAGCTCCCCAATTTCCTCATAATGCTGGGTTGGCACTGGTCCCATACACTGGTCAAAAGCCCAAGAGAAAATTTCTTCTCCCCCGAGACTCAAACCAGCGTGCATTCCGTATCGCCGGTCCGAAGCATGATGCCTCAGACCACGCGGCTACGGCGCGGGATGTTAATGTACATAAGAAATTAAAATCCTGGAAAAGTTGCATGGATTTAAATCTAGGTGCAATTCTTTTCACGTACATATATGTATATATTCTGTAGTGATATGAGATCAAACCTGACACTCTCGAGACTGGCTGGATGTTCAAGATCAGAAGTCAGAGATCTTAACAGCTGTGATTACAAAAAGTGACTTGCTAATCAACAAGCAGAGTAGGCTAAAAGGGAATTTGGACACCAAAATAGTATTTTCTAATAATGTGCATTATTAGGGAGGTTACCAGTTAGAAATCATATCCTATATCATTCAAACCTTTCTACACTATGCATGAGACATTTCCCTCAGAAATATTAATCCTTGCAGTCTGAATAATTTTGCATGTTAAAATTTCACAAAATAGTTGTCATCTCATTTCTCAGCAGTTAAGAATATCTGACTTTCTAACAAAAGAAACCATACAATATTATGAAACGATCCTAAGAGAAGTATTGTGTTTGCACTAAAATTCAGCATGCAAACAGATAATGTAAGTACTATTATTCTTTTCAGCAAGTTGTTTGTCTTTACTTAAATTCAGCATGGGAAGGGTTAATACAAGTACTGTAAAGACTGTATCTGTTCAGAAAGTTATTTTGTTTTATAGGAAGGTCAATCAAGCAGCAATGCAACAAATGAATGCACTGTGGCACACCTCAAATTGTTACATGAATCCAATATTGCATGAATATGCTGAAAAACTTACTTCTAAACTTCCTGGAGATTTGAAGGTAATTTAGTAAGTTTGTGATTGTTCTTCTTCTTCCAAACACATCTCCATTTTATGTATGTCATCTGAAAACCCAGCCTCTCCATCTCTCTGCGCTTTCTCACATCTCCTCCTCCATTTCCTTCCTTCTTGCTGTGTCATATCCTTCCTAATTTGCTGTACCCATCTTGATTGTCTTCTCCTCTTCTGTGTTCCACTTTTACTTTAAACTGTAATTGTTTTTATTTGTGTAATTGTGAACAACTGTAATAATCAAATGTTAATGTAACAGTTACAGTACATTTTAACCAAAACTTTCTTCTGTTTATAGGTTGTTTACTTTGTGAACAGTGGGTCAGAAGCAAATGACTTTGCTATATTTCTGGCTCGATTACATACTAAAAACTCTGACATAATCTCTTTCCGTAATAGTTATCATGGAATGAGTTCTTTAACAATGAACCTTACTGCACAGTCTTCTTGGAAAAATCATGTTCCTTTGGCATTTGGTTTCCATCATGTAAGTAGTACTTTAAAGTTCCTTCTGAAATTGTGCATAATTGTTACACTCAGCCTAAAACGCTCTATGCTAAGACTTTTATTTTCTTAACCTCTTACTGATTGGTACTACACAGATGTTTGTCAACTGTGTAGCTCAATCAATATAGTGACTGGCAACTGGCTACAGGCTTGACAAGTGGGATTCGATCCCCAACATGGCCTCTGCATCCAGACTGGCTCTGGGACCCACCCAGCCTCCTATGTAGTGGGTACCGAGGCTGTGGTTGAGAATGAGTAGGAGCTATACCTCCTTTCCCCTATGTGCCAACATTGGCATGTAATGATATGGCTTTACACAGATCTGTTTAGAGTGGACCAGCCAATTTGGGATTTATGCTGGATAACTACACAATTTCCCATCTGCCTCATGTTCTATCAGTGTCTTTATTACTTACTTAATTTCCTCCTTTAATTCATTGATCCAGGACTTTTACTTCCAGATGTCCACACTTTTGAAAAACTCTTAAAATGATTGTCATATTTCTTCCACAGAAGCATAATTAAATAAGTGATTTGTTTGATGTTTACAATGTAAATCTTGATGAATGTGAAGTCAGTACCTTGAAAGAGGTAAACACAAAGTCCTTTCTGCTGCATTATAATAGCCATCATTTGATGCTACATAACCTCAGTAATGAATATGGCTTAGTTAAATAACCCATGAATCAATCACTGTTGTAACTGACAATTACTGAAGTATCTTATTTTTGTCTGGTACCTTACAGGCTATGAATCCAGATGTTTATCAAGGACTATGGGGAGGCTCTCATTGTCGTGATTCACCTGTCCAAACTACACGCCACTGCAACTGCAAACCAAATGAGTGTAATGCTTGTGACATGTACTATGGTCAACTGGAGGAAATTTTCAAGTATTCTGTACCTAAGGGTAAAATAGCTGGTTTATTTGCTGAGTCTGTTCAGGCTAGTATTTCTTTTTCACAGTGACTGATTTTGTTTCACAACAGTTGTGGAGCAGCTTAACCAAATATTTCTTTCTGAACAGGGTATTGGTGGCACTGTTCAGTATCCAAAGGGATTTTTGAAAAAAGCATATGAATTGGTGAGGATGAATGGTGGAGTCTGCATTGCTGATGAGGTATTTATTTATTCCTGTCATGCTATTTGCCTTTGTTTAAAAACAATAAGTTTCATTGGAATAAATAAACTTTCTTTGCAAAATAATGCATCTGCAGGTTCCCCATCTTCATTGGTTAGTGGTAGTGTAGAGGATGGAGAATCGTTTGGTTATCAGCTATTTGTAGTATGTTTCATGACTGCCAATACATAAAATAATTAACTCATAACTAAATTAATAACTGGCTTTACGGAAATTCTACAAGTTGTAACGCCCTGATGATGGAGGCAATACACACCTCTCAAACACCAGCCAGTTTTACTAGACTACTTGGCACAACACCCCTGAAGACGAGTCATCTTCTGTCTGTTAATGCATGTTCATATACATAGTTTGAACTGCATTTACTTCTGAACCAATTTCTTGAATCAAATCAGCATAACCAAGTGCCAGGTTTTGACTGTTTATTTCCAGTCCTTTCTGATACTAATACTGTCCTGAACATGCTAAGACATATGGTCATTCTATGAAAACAATTTCAGAAATTATAAAATAATATTCTAGCTGCCATTATGTGTATTATTTAGGTACAGACAGGTTTTGGAAGGACTGGAGAACATTTCTGGGGATTTGAAATGCATGGTGTGACACCAGATATTGTTACCATGGCAAAGGGAATTTGCAATGGTCTTCCCATGGGTGCTGTTATCACAACACCCGCTTTAGCTGAATCACTGAAAGAGGCATATTTTTACAACACATTTGGAGGTAATCCAGTAGCATGTGCTGCAGGCTTGGCAGTCCTGAATGTAAGTTGCAGCAAACAATATGTTATTAATTATGTTCAGTTCTACAAACAGGCAGAATTGATTCAGATTAAGTCCTTTCATCTGACAGAATTAATAATGATCCAAGATAAAATGCAGACTCATGCCCCTTAATTAAAATCTTTCGTAGGCAGTTGAGTCACTTTTTTACATATCATCTTCATATACCAAAAATTTCTGTACATTGTCAAGATTTTCTTTTCACTCTCCTGGCTTTTTCAGGTTATAGAAGAAGAAAGGATTCAGGAAAATGCCCATACTGTTGGAGCCTACCTTCTGATGAAACTCTCTGATTTGAGAGATCAGTTTGAATGTATAGGGGATGTGAGAGGGGCAGGGCTAATGATTGGGATTGAGATGGTAACTGATAAAGAAACAAAAATTCCCCTTCCAGCCAACCAGTTTCTGAACATCTGGGATGACTGTAAAAATATGGGTGTTATTATTGGTCGTGGAGGAATGTATAAAAATGTAAGTATTACTGATTTTGATTCTGATTAATACAGCCTATCTTGAGGCAGTATATCATAAGGGAATGGCTTTCTTATTCTAATAATTTAATAAGGTTAAATATATGGCATGTGCAGAAGTTACTATCTCATCATGCCTCATATATTAGTATTAATTGTATGTTGTAATCCTTTAGGTGGACTAGTAAATAGGAATTGAACTGATTATATCTTACAGATATTCCGAATGAAACCACCAATGTGCATCACCAAAGAAGATGTTGATTTTGCAATTGACGTTTTTAAAATTGCAATTCAGAAGCATCAGAAGACTGTTAAAATGTAGCCAGAACATTTTCATTCTATAAGCATTTTTCGCTTATTTTCCTTATTTTACAAAAAATACAGGCTCATATGTGTCTGTTCCCTTTATACCTTTAGAACCAGCTGACAGATTTTTCATTGTAACTTGTTATAAATATCATGTCAGTAATTTCTTAACATCTGTACAAATGACATGGCAGCTATTTAACTCACAAGGTTGGAGTGACACTGTCACCAGTTAATGTGAGGTCCAGAAAAATTTCTGTGATAACAGATTTGTAAAAATATACAACTCAAGTTAAAGGTAATTACTTTAGCTTTCTATTTGATGGAACATGGTGCTGAGTCATGCAATTTCTGCCAGGAACAAGGAATTTACAGTTTTCATTTAACTTCGTCAGTGGACACGATGTATATTAAATATAAAGATGACTATCTATTGGGTTGTATTACCATGTAGTCTGGTAGAAGTTTACCAACATTTCAGAGGTCCTTGCTGCGTCCATCATCAGGGCAATGAGTATTCACCTGATGACGGAGGCAGCAAGGACCTCTGAAATGGTAAACTGCTACTTGTTTTTAATGTGTTTACTTCTAGATTAATTTCTGTACTGGCCTGTAAGAGGCCTTTCCTGATGGCATAGCTAGAAAAATTAAAAATCAATGAGGATAAATCATTCCCTTACAATATTCAATCAGGTGAGGAAATTACAGAGTGATGACAGTTTCTGCACATCAATATTATACATTTCAATTTGATTTGTGTTGTCTAGGAAAATGTCACCATAAAAATGTGTTACATAAACATTAATATTGCTGACATACACTTTCAATTCTACATTGGCCATGATACTGGAGCTACCCATATTTGTTATACTTCTTATCAATCTCTTTTTCTTCATTCTGGTGGCTTGAATAAGAAGTGTCATGTGTTGTTCACTTTACTTTGACTAAATGAAGTTGCATATAGTTGAATAGCCGTGACTGAAACACACATCTCAGGTATAAAAGCAAATGAACCAAACATACTGTCAAAGCATATAAGAATTATATAACTAATAATTATATTTAATGTATATCCACAATTTATATCAAATAATATATTTTTATTACCTTATACTATTCTACTGTACATTTGTACCCCACAGCCTCTTACAATTTAGCAGTCACAATTTGTCCAGTAATTTGATTTGAAATCAATAATACAACTTCATTACTATTTCTTGCATTAACATTGCTACCTAATATGTCAAAATACTTGTTTATGAATGCCAAAGTACAGAATAAGAACTATTCTATTGCAGTACACGCAAGTTGTATATTTAGAACTGTTACAAACTTAAATGTCTTTAGCAATGTTAGTGCACAGCCTCTTAATAATGCATAATTGTAATATGTCAACAAATGCAATAAATACAAACTTGTAACTGAAAAATCACTAACCATAAAGTCCATTTTTATAAGGTAAATTCTGCTATTAATACTACTTAACCATTTCACAGTGGAAAAATAAAGTCACAACCCATAGAACAACAGTAATATTAAAGTAGCTTGGGAGTGAACTTAATTTTTAATTTGTTCTAAAAATCATTATTTTCTTGTCATGATAGGAATTTCTGATAACTGTGCGTCTTTCTTGGTAACTATAACATGCTACTACTTGCCGTCCATCACCAGTTCCCATCGGCGAGTGAGGACCAGTTTGTTATGCAGCTGCCCTGAGGATTAGAGCAGAGACAGCTCTCAAAACGTTGGCACAGGATATGGTGTATTCACCATTCAGTCACCTTACGCGGCTTCTAACCCGAGTCTTTCATCAAAAAACAAAACTGTTCATATATCTTGACATACTTAAAAAAAATTTGAACCCTGAAAGAGAGTTTCAAAACTGTGCATACCAGAATCATCATTTTTTCTTTCAAACATAAGTGGTGAGTTTTATGAACATGATAATGAACTTTTGGGTTCCATAATAGGCATGGAATTTCTTGTTTAGCTGAATCACTATCAACTTCCAAATTAGACTCTGAATCATTTAATTTGGTAGTTATTAAGCTCCATAACTTCAAAGACCTTTTAATTATTATTATATTACATCTGATATTCACTTATTCTTATTTTAATACTCAATTAATTTCCAAATGTTTTAAAAACAATAAATCTTTGTATTATACTTCTATTTCAAGTACCTGGATTGCAACTTACGTGTCATGGCACTATTTCTGATGCTGGCCTCAGGGAAATTTGACTGGCTCATTAAAGCTTTAAACTATCAAAAGAGGATTTGAAGTGTTGAAAAGTGCATCATCATTTGATGGAAAATCTTCATTCAAAGTCTTGCGTAATTCACCACGAGCCTTTACAACAACATACATCATCAATGATATTCCAATCACAATCTGGAAACAAGAGTTGTGTCAGTTACAAACATGTATACTTAGATCATAATGTATGGATGTGTAAGTATCTTGAGGATAAAAGTGAGCATACAAAAATAAAGCACGTACTTAATTACCTCCCTAAGTAATATTTAAGAATTATGCTAGATTTCAATGCAAAATATGGAGAGAAGGGATTTTCAAAGGAACAATTAGAAACATCATTAGTAATGATAATGGAGTTACAGCAGGGAAATAGTGACATCTCAAAAATAAAACTGGCAAATAATACAACAGTACCACATTAAAATTTATAACCTTTAAACCTTGGCAATGACATTAAAAATGTTGGTTTGTGTATAGTTTCTAAAATGAAATTATAATTTTCTAAAGAAATAATATCTTGCAAACTTACTACAATATTCAACTTGTATTTCAGACTGACTTTAACAAAAGCATGGATTGAAAGTGTGAGGAGGAAGAAAGACTGGATCTGACAATGCCAAAACATATTTCTACAAAGTACAATTATAACTAACCTGAAAGAACACAATAAATCCTGTAGCTGCTGTGGATTTATTTGAAAGAACTTCTTCCATTGATCTAAGAGTGCTGCCCAAATACACATTAATGATTTGTGCTGGGAAAAGTCCAAAAAATGTTGCAATTAAGTATTCCTTTGTATTGATATTACTAACCTGTAAAAAGTAATGGCTCAAGATAACAGCAAGTTGTCACCTGCTGCAAAAAGTGCAGCAAACTACTGTACTTAATTCAATAAAAAGTTCTTGAATTCAATATATTAGTGCATTATACTTCACGCAGAATATATAATAAACCTTTAAAATAAGACTAATTAACTTACAGCAAAAATTGTATTTTGCAGTCCAAATGGTATTGGTGTTAAACGAGCAAACACAGCAACTTTAAACGCACGTGGCCCAGACACAACCATTAAAATAGCATGCACTTTGTCATTATTATAAAGTTTTGTAACTGGAAATTTGGTCCTGAAAGTTCTCATAGTATAATGGGCAATGACAACTCCAAGATTTACAGTAACAACAACTGTCACAAGGCCACGAGGAACTCCAAATAAATACCCTGAGGAGATCACTAAAAATGTGTAACCCCATGTGAAAGGAAATGACACTAATGTAAACATCCCTAGAAATATAACACAAATTAGCCAATGTTCCAGAGTTTCTACCCAAAACAACACAGCCTTTATGTAGTCCTTCCATTCGTAAAGAAGTATAATAACGCATAATAAAGTCGTTGCCAGTAATAAGCAACTACATAAGTTGAATTTTAAGGGTAATGAACCCCTGATTAACCTAAAAGTTGACACACTTTCTTCTATGTTTGCCATTGGTTTCGGTTTTATAGCGCGTTACAGAACTTAACATTGCTTTTTTGAATCTTCATATTTTTCTTATCGTAACCATGTTATCTCAAATGCCAACAGTGTCTTCTTAGGCACAATTACTTGTTTACACAATGCCAACTCTATTCACATTCCCGGCCATACTGAAAGTCGATTATTATTGTGAAACGATAGGAGAAATATCTCAAACAAGAGACAAACACAGAATCGATACTTTTAGAGTACAGTTCTTAAGTTTGACAACAGATGGCACGAGCAACTTCCCTACATGAAATTCACTGTTGTGACGGTTTTTACAAAAAAGACTGGGTAAAAAAAACAATAAATTTCGTGTGTTAATTGTAATCCAGCAACGGAGGTGATCCGAGTAATTTTTTGAGCGATTTCACAAAAAGAATTTTCGGAAAACTTCGCCCCTCAGGGTTTGAACTTAAATTTTGTATACAGTTACAATAGACGGCCCGAAGCATTGTAACATGTTTCAAACAAGGTAAATACTGCTACTAATAAAATCTGTTAAACATAGTTCAAATGAAGAGTATATAACGTACAAATTTTCCTTTGTGCACCTAAGGGGAATATTTGTCCCCTGGATCGTATACATAATCACCCTGTCGAACGACGAAAGTAATTAGGCCTAATAAATAGAAATACGTCGATTAACCAGTACACATATCCAATGGGCAAGCATTAACCAACCAACCTACACTGAAATTATAAATTACGTATGTCTTCTAATAGGCCTTCTTATATTTCAACCCGGCGCAGGGATTATCTGACAGATTATCATGGTATTCCTTAGTGACTCCAATCAAATTCTTGTACAGTACACTAAATTATGTCACAGCCAGTTCCTCTAAAATCCTTTACCATTTATTCGTCAAGAATTATCATAAGACTGAAGCTGTATAATATAGGTTATTAGCAGCGCATATAAATAAACCACAAATAAACATATAAAAAAAATACATGGGTACTTTAACCTGATAACTGGCATATGGAAGTTTGTGCAATGCAAGAAATAGACACCGAATTACTTACTAATACATTTTGTGTTCTACAAATGAAACGATGTTAAATCACGCATATTTTCTAGTATTTATCGCTGTGACGTCGCAAGCCAACACGGTTAACATGAACGCTGCATTCCCAATCAAGACCCATTTGGAAGGCTGACAAAACCAAATGTAATCAAATTATTATTATTATTATTTATTTTTGCACTATTTTACAGCATTCACTGACACTCTCCTTCATTCTGGTAACAGTAGGCAGGCGCCACAGTTTCTGCCTTGATTCCTCTCGTGACGAGTCTCAGCCGATGTCTGTAGAAGCGGGCCTCTGCACTGGAGCTCCTAGAGTCAGGATCGGCCCACAGCCTCTCAGCCATGGCGGCAGTTCGAGGCCACACTTTGGCATCCAGAGACTGGTTATCTACAAGTTCCGACCACATACACGCCTCACCTCCAAGCACACCAGCTTTGCGTGGAATCTTATTGTCATATACTACTTTCCAGTTGTGGTATACGGTAGACCCCCAGAAACCATGGTCCAGGTACCACGCGTCTTTCGTCGAGTAAATTACCCTGTAACCTTTGGCTAGAAGTTCTGCAGGTAAGCTACTAGAAGCCGGAACCCAGGTTTGTATTATATACCTGGAAATAATTAAAATACCAATACGTGGTTTAGCCAGAGGCCTATCGAAATGTTTCGGAAATATATATATATAAGAAATGAATCAAGTTAATGATAAAATTACGAAAAGAATAAATTCGGAAAATGTTTTTAGTATCACCCCGTTTGATTTCCAGGAAAAAAAACACATGTTTTTAGTATCACCCCGTTTGATTTACAGAAAAAAAACAAGTGTTAAGAAATAAAACGCTGTTCTTCAATGTAGGTTTTCTTAAAATAAACTGTGCTCAAATAATTATTAATTTGTTACGAGCATGACAAACTTTTGAGCGTGGTAATCCCGTTCGTCACAAAGGAAAAGTAACAAAATAGAAAGGACGTAAGTATTTGGCATTGAATTTGTTTCTACCACCGTACAGCGGCATAGTGATTGCTTCATGAATTATAATTTGCCAATTAAGAAAACAAGTGTAGACTTAGATCGCTTTATACGTTACGGAAACCATTAGGCTTATGGTCGCCAAGCAACCAGACAACAATCTCAAAAACTTATACAGCCGAAAGAGTTTAAAATAAGGTGCAAAGAAACATATTTCTACACAGGGGGGAATGAGCTAAAAACTCAATTTACAACTTTTCAAGCCCATACAGAACAATAAAATATAGGGGACTGGTAAAGTCTAGGAAGTTTGTGGAGAAAATGAGACGTTAAAGATCGACTCAGGAGGGGAGCGGGGAAGAAATGTTTACAGAATTCGGTGGGTGACTGTCGATATTAAAGATTTTCTCTAATTCACCATGAGGTCAAGACGCATGTTTTTTTTAAGGTCACTGTCCTAGGTGAACACATTTTCGGATTTACCAATTTGAGATAATAAAATAAACCCACTTTGCGCTGGTTCAGGATGTTGTTGGTCACCCGGGACTGTCCGAGGTGAGTGGGTCAGAACCACCAGGAAGTGTTGGAGGTTACTGAGAAGTCAGAAATTCCGACAGGGCAAGCTGTCTCACCTATCTTTGTTGAGGAAGCTCTCGATGACCCCCGTCTCAGTGAGGTGGCTGGACCAAAGGATAACGGGAGTGTTGG